AAAAAAAAAAAAAAAAATAAATGTAAAAAAAAATGAAACAGAAAAAAAAATGAAACAGAAAAAAAAATAAAGACAACCACCCTCTAACCGCCTTACATTCCCCCCCACCCGCAGAAAGGACATAAAAATAATCCCCATATACGTCGGCTGCATCGGAAACGATATTCAAAAAATAAATTGCTTTTGTACGACAAGGAGGGGAGGGGCGATGGGAACAAATAGGCACCTGACTGGACGTCCCATCCACGCGTGCAGGAGCACACACACATGTTCATGGGAATGTTTTTTTTTTTTTTTTCGGTGCAGGCAACCCGATAAAAAAATACTTCCAAGACGAGGGAAACCTGTTTCTGTTTTCGTCTGACTTTTGTCACTACGGGCGCAGGTTCTTCATCGCGTCGCCGAGAAAGTGCTTTGCATGAGAATCCCCTCATCCTCTTCGGTTCTCACTCCGTTGTTATTGCTCCCTCCCCCCCCCCCCCTTTCGACCAGATTCAGCTTCACCAACATTTTACAAAAGTATAACGACACGCACATCTTCAAGCAAGTGGAGGTACTCAGCCTGAAGAGGCGCAAATGTACATTCGCCCTAGTTATGTGCGTCTGAATGTATATGCCTGGGAGCTACAGTAATATATGTGTGTGTGTACCCTTTCCCCTTTTTTTTTTTTTTTTTTTCACTAACCCATTGTAGAATATGGACAAGGACGCCGCCAACATAATCAGTCGCCACAACCTAGTAGGTTCGTCTCCTTGTTGTGACGCGCGCAATTTAATCGTAGCGTTCGTTTCGTAACAGGGTCACTTACTGTCCCTTTTTTTGCTTCTTCATTTTGTTACATTTTTCCGTTCCGCAGAATTCATTGAATACCTGAACAAAACGCACAACACCATATGCGGGTCGAATCCGATAAAGATGATGCTGCAGGTAGGCGTTTGCCCGGATGGGTGCATCCACGCGTTCCTCCACTCCTCCGCTCATCCTCTCATCGTTCCCCCCACAGCTGCTCCAAGGCTTTTCCGGAAACGTGTCGACCAAGCTGATGCACTACTCGCAGGTAGGTCCACGCCCCATCAAGTAGCTTCAACATCGTTCACTCGCTTGGCCATTTTGCATGCGTCACCATCACATGCTGCCCCATCACATGGTGCACCCTTCCCTCCTCAGTCGAACCAAGCGAGAAGCACAAACGATTCCTCCGTGTCCTACGCCGGCATGGTTTCCTTTATTAATTAATCCCTGCCTCCGCACCCCCACGTGCGAGTTCAGTGCGCGATTGTGTAAGTTGAATTACATGCGGAGGGGCAATTTTTTTACAAATGGCGTACCCCGCTCGGAAGTGTACAATACAACTCATGTGTGTGCGCCCTGTTAACAAAACCATGTCTTGTCTTCAACTCGGACGATGCGGCCGCATTTGCAACAAAGTTGACAGGAAAAAAAAAAAAAAAAAAAAAGGGCACAAAAAGGGAACACGAAATGTGCGCTATGCACAGTGTGAAACTGTCACATATGGTACAAAAAAAAAAAAAAAAAAACAGCTTCTTTACACACACAATTGTATCGTTGTAAACATTGGGGAGATATTCCATCCCTGCCCAATTCACTTCCTTATATTTAGGTTGTGTGTAAACGATATGTGGGTTATATTTTGGACCTCTCTTTTCTTTTTCCTTTTCAGTTTCTTCTTTTTATGCTTCGGCCTGTTAGTTTCCTCTTGCGTGTGTCTTGGTTCCGCCTCCCTTTGGAGGGTTCCTCGTGGGACACGGCGGACCCGATGAAGTGCACGTACCTGTTTGTCGTCCCCTTCAGCGGTGTGCGATTTACTTTTCAGGGCGATGTCCCTACTTGCTGATTCAGTAGGACGTTGTAGGAGGCCATCAACTCCTAAGGGGACTCCTTGGCTGAGCATGTCCAGGATTGTCCTGCGCACGGCAGTGCCGCTACGCTGCTGGTGCTCCTTCGACAAGGGACTTGTAAAAACATTTTTCCACAAGAAGCTTGGGTGGCTAAAGGAGAAGAAATTTTTCAAATAAGTACTGGTCCTGTTTTCTCTCTGTTGCGAATAATATTCATAATGTGTTGATGAAATTAAAAGACCCCGATTCGCTTCGAAATTGAAAAAAGGATTAATGTGTTTATTTAATGAATAATTTGTATCCCCGTTAATGCTCGTGCCTGCTTTACTGCTATGCTCCAGCTGGTGCTCACACTTGTGTTTCAACGTAACGACAATGCTATACAAGTTATTCAACGGACTCAGTAGCTGCAAGTTGTTCTTCAAAAAACTTTCGAAAAAGGACAAAAGATTTAACGTCGTGGAAGATGAATGTTCTGATATATTTATATTTTTAAGAAGATAAAAAAAAATGCTAATATAATTGTAAAAATATATTTTTTTTATTTTTTTAAAAATATATTGTATTTTTTTTTTTTTTTTATTTTTTATTTTTATGGCTGATATGTTCATAAGGAAATTTTGTGTCAACAATAACTTGAGCAAATAATTTACGTTAATGTAGATCTTCGTTTTTTTTATGTCCAGGTTATATATGTACAGGAGGAAGTTTTTTTTTCTTTCGCTGGTGGGTATGTACAGACTGCGCGAGTAGGCGAAGGGTTCGAATTTGTGGAGGCTGTCCGCTTCACGCAGCAGCGCCTGCACCACGCCGTCTGCACAACTGACACGGGTGCTGTGATTGCCCCTCCCGCCTGCGGACGAGCCCTCCTCAGAGCCGCTAACACTGTAGTGCCGCCACTCCCTGCACACGTACTCGTAGCACAGAGGCAAGACGTTCACGAAGTAATTGTAGTCCAGGGTCAGACTCAGACTTGCGATTTCAATGGACAGGTTTCTTATGATGTCCCCTCTCCTCTTGCGCAGCTTCTGCTTCTTTATCTGCTCGATGAACTGCACCAGGTTGTGTATTTGGTGGCTCGGCGCGCCAAGCTCAGCGTCGTCGCGGTTAGCGTCGTCACCACAATTAGCGGCATAACCCGCGTTAGCTTCGTCGTCGCAGTTGGTGGCATCACCGCAGTTGGTGGCGTCTAAGGAGCCCCGCCGAGAGTCCTTCCCCCTCTTATAAAAGTAGTAGGCACTACACAGCAATGCGCGGGCCCTATTGGTGGCAAAACTTTTCGATTTGGCAATACGTGCAGCGTTCCTTTCAGGTGAGGTGACTCTTCTTTTGTTCATCCGTTCCGCCAACTGTGTCACCTTTCTCCTCCTTGCCGTGTTAGTCGAGTCCCCATTTGAGGGTACGACCCACTGGACCATGGTCTGCCTTTGTCTTCGCCTCTTCCTCTGCCTGCGTCTCGTCCTCTGCCTCCGTTCTCTCTCTAAGTGGCAACACGCATGTACAATATTCAGGCTGTTATATATATGTTTGTATTTCATAACCCTCTGCTTTAGCAGGTCCACATTAACACTAATAAATGTTTCTTCATCATTGTACTTGGTAAGAATGGTATGGCTGTTTCGTTCGAAGGTTTTCTTTTCAACCCCCTCGTCTTCTTTACTCACACGTATATTATCGATTAGGACCAGCACTCTTTCGTAAAAATCAGAGTAGCTCATACTCACCACATGGACGTTACTTTTTAACAACCCGAACAGCTGCTTGTATAAATGCACGTTCTTCACGTAGCTGCAGAACAAATGAGAGGAGTACTGGCAATACAACTTACTCTTGAATAGTCTATACACATTGTAAATTTTTATAATGTTATTTTTTCTTGTTAAAAAATTTCTTTTTCCTTCTCTCCTGCTGGCCATATTATCTGTTCTGCTCAGCGTGGTTACATATTCTGGCCTGCCTCTTCTCAGTAGCCTCCTGAGAATCCTGCTGCTCCTCATTCGTGAGCTCTTCTCTCCCCATTCAGCAGACTGATCAGACGAAGGAGAAGAGGATGATTCGTCCACAGCGACTATATTTGTGCATTCCCTGTTTGGTCCCTCCTTCGTCAGATTAGCACTCCAGTTGGTCAACGCTACCACGCCGCCGCCATTACCGCCACCCTCACCGCTACCCCCACCGATAGCCCGACTTGGGCAAGGCCTCTCATCCATCAACTCGCTGCGGCGGGGAGGCCGCACCCCCCATCGATGGCGTTCCTTCGGCTGCTTCTCCTTCCCGGGCTTGCGCACGTCGCAGAACCCTATGCATCTCTTCCTCCTGGTCAGAGCTTTTCTATTCAGACAATGGAAGGTGTAAAAGTTGAAAAAAATTTTACTAAAGTGAATTCTCTGATCCATGTGCACAAGGGTCATGGCTTCCCTAGATGATACGTCCTCAAAGGTTAACATCAGCTCAACACTTTTAATAAATATTTTAACATTGATCAGATCATTCTCGCTCAGTCCGTATAGGTTGTTTATGTAGATAATCCCTTTTGTGTTTTCCATCACAGGGACGGTGCGACGATTCATATCATTTCGCTTAGATGACGCCACCACTCTTTCACATGGTGGTGGTGGTCCCCCTATTATATTATTTTCCCCTTTGAGGAAATGGAAGCAGTAGTAAAGGGAGAAAACGTTCTTCACAAACTGACTCTCTCTTGATCCATTCAAAATGATGTTAACGTCGTTATTTTTATTCAGCACGATATCGCAGTGGTATTTCACAAGGTACAGTTCGTAGTACACGAATTGTGTTTCTCCTCCAATGGAGGGACTAACAACACCCTTAACCTTCTTCCTCTTGAACAGGAAAAAGGAAAAGGAAAAAGACGAAATGAGGTTGCAAACCAAGGCAAATTTCATCACATGAAAATTCTTATGCATGTCTGGTATCTTCACCAAGTGTAAGTAGTTCCTCACGGACTCATATTTTGTGAGTGGAGTTTCATCACCAAGCTTCAGTAACAATTGTAACGTCTTGTTGTTCATTAAAATAAATTTAGGGAAGAAAAAAAAAATACATTTTTCATCCTTGAAGTGTACATACCTTTTCTGTATAAAAATGAGGTGTGTACTTTGTGCTGGGTTCATCAATAAGGGAACATCTAAGTTGTTATAAATGTGTATTCTGCCTTTTTTATTCACCTGTTCGTTTATTTGCTCTTTGTATTTTTTAAAAATTTGTTGCATGGTGTTTTTCTTCGTGAAGATAACTAGGTCAATGTTCATTTTTTTTAAGCGGCTGTATTCGTGCAGAGAGCGCTCATACTCTGCTGAACGGAGTGTTCCCAGCGGGGCTTCCTCCTCTACATGGGGTGCATCCTTCATGATTGTCTCTGCTTTGTCCTCTTCCCCGTCTTCCTCCCCTTCCTCCGCTTCTTCACAAGTGAACCCCATTTCATCTGTGCCACCATCGTTATTATCACATCTGTTTTTTTTTCTCCTTGATGGTTGCTCACTCGGGTGGCTTCCACCAATGGGTCTACTGCTCCCCCCATCTACCTCCCCCGACAAGAGTGGAATTCTCTTAATGAAAATGTAATACGTTTTGTCCTTCTCTACGGTGAAAATGTGAAACAGCTTCTCCTTTACCACCGTCAGGTGTTTGTTGCTGTTCTTCGTGTAAATCTGTGCATACTTGTACGTGTAAAAGTAGGTGGCGCAATTTTTGTGAATCCTTATGTACTTGCCCCTTATATGTTTTGTCTTCACCACTCGGGGGCTCCCCCTCTTTTCGTGCGTCTTCCGGGTCAACACTTTCAGCGCCTGTGCGTAGTTAATAATTTTGGCGCCTTCTGGCCGGTTCATTGGGGATTTGATCAGCGCCTTCTGTTCCATTTTTTTCTCCGTTTCTTCCACCGGTGCCTCCCCGTTGTGAGTAACCTTGTCGAGGGTGACTTGGTGTCCGCCCCCCTCCTCCTGTGGCTGCCTTATTTTGAGACTAATAAAATCCCACGCACTTTTATTTTTTATGTTTAGCTCCTGCACGCTCATGCTGTGGAGTAGGTTGGTGCGGTCAGGGCGTCTACTGTCCACCTTTTCTTCATCAAATAGGGCAGCGATTTTCCCGAGGTAGCTGCTTCGTTCGTAATGTTCACCTGGTCCGCTTCCCCCACGTGGTCTGTTTTCTTCTCCTGCGACGTCGAACTCCGAGTCGTCTTCGCTGGTAGGGGAGAAGCATGAGTGCTCGCTGAAATTGAGGTCGTCGCTTTCGTTTGAGTCGACGAGCTGCTCCCCGTGTCGCGCTTCGCGATGCCGCTGCTGCTCATGCTGCTCCTTCTCCAGCACATCGTGCGGCTTGGACTTGACCTCGAAGGTGTACTTTGTGAGGTTCACCAAAACGAGGTAGGGAAAAAATTGAATAAAAGAAATGCCAAAGGAGTGAAAGTGCAAATGGTGGACACGCACAGTTACATATTCCTCGTTTAGCTGTATGACCTTAGTGTAGGACTTATTTATTTCGTACGATACAGAGTCGTTGCTCATCGTTTTGTTATAACTGTTCAGAGAAAAGCGATGGTTGAAGCAGTAATTTTTAATACAGTGTTTATTATTTTCATTTTTGTTTTCCTGTTCATATTTTTTTTTTTTTTCTTCTTCTTCTTCTTCTTCAATTTTTAAAATATCCTGCTCTAGCGCAAAAACTCTCCTGCCCATAACGGGGGAAAGAAGAAGCAAATCTTCCTTAAGTGCAGTATACGTTTGTTTTACATTATATTTTTTAACTTCACATTGAAACTTGAGATCGTCCAAGCAATTCTCCTCATCATTCAACACGTAGTACTGCAACACATTTCTCGTGTAATTCATAACGTTGTGTTTGCTCACGATGGTTATATTATAAACCTGCTCGTACATGTATATGTAGACAACGAAGTAGAGGTTGTGAAATTTTACTAAATCAAAAAAAACAATTTGAGGGAGACCTTTTACATTTTCATGTTCTTCTGTTTCGCTGTCGTTACTTGGGGTAGCTGTTCTCGTTTGTACTACGACCTCTCCTCTGTTAGTAGCCACGAACAAATCCTGTTTCACTTCGGCACGTGCAAAATATGCTTCATTGTTTACCTTCAAAAATTTTATCCACTGGCGGTAGAAGGACAGACTGAAGTTCAGTATCAGATTGTTCAAAAAACAAAAGTGATACACATTTACATAGTCGAAACTACGTAAGCTATACGTTTTGATGCTCCCCTTTTCTCTCTTTAACAGCACGTTGATGTTGAATGGAGTGAGGTTAATTATCTTCATGCAGTTTTGAATTGAAAATACATGTACGTTTTTTTTTACCATCCTCACGACGCTGAATATTTTGGAGTACTTGGCGTCTTCTGCGTCGGTTCGACTGCCGGGCTGCCCTGGGCCACCCCCCCGCACGCGCGCCTTATCGGCGTGTGCCGTGTCCATGCGTGAGTTGTCGACGTGTGCCTTGTCGACGTGTGCCGTGTCCATGCGTGAGTTGTCGACGTGTGCCGTGTCCATGCGTGAGTTCTCGACGCGCGCGCGCTTCTTCACCAAAAAGAAAAAGCTGCAGTAGAGCACGTGGACGCTGTCGTGAATATCCCTAAAGACATACCTCCTGAGTTTTAAAAACTGAGAATACTTCATTTTGTTACTCACATAAAGCTTATCATTGTGCATCTTCACAACGAGCTGCATGAATTCACACTGCTTCATAAAATGAAAGGGAACACTAAAGGCAGTCTGGTTGTCCTTCACCACACACGTATTAATGGTGTTAGCCTTAATAAACTTTAACTTCAAATGGAGAAATTTTTTTTTTTTTTTTTTTTTTCCAATACACTTGAGGGGTCGTTCTTGGCCACAGTGGATTCACCAACAATCATCCTCGTGGTGGTGTCTCGCTTGAGGTACTCATCGAACAAAATGTTCACAAAAAAATAAGGATAAATGTATATGCACTTTTTATTATCATGTATACCCACATCTATGTGCAGGTAGTTTTTTGCACTAAGTGTTTTCTTATGGTGTGGGTCCTGCTGTGCGTCGTTTGGGTGTCTGTAGGCTTTTCCAAAGTGGGGTCCATACTGATTAGCATTATGGGGACTCCCTCCTGAAAGGTAATTTCTTCCCTTAAGAAAAATTTTTTTTCTCAGGCTAGTATCCTCAACACTATAAATGAGGAGGAAAAATAAATTCGCACAAACAATGACGCTGTCTTCATTCCTTTTCACCAACCCCACGTTGTCTTCATATTGGTAGAGCAAATCGTAAGGCGTGTAATTTTTTATAATTATGAACTCCTTGTGAAATTTATTCTGGAAGGAAACGAAATTGCGCACATCTCTGATGGTCCTGATCTTTTCATTACTCACCTGACTGCATAGTACACACTCATGGTAAGACAAGTGAGAATGAATAAAATGTTGTTTGAACAAGAAAAGGAAATTTACTATTCCTCTCCCCATATAAATGTGTACGTCGTTTTTTATGTAGATCCAAAGTTTTTTTTTTTTTCTCTCATCCATATTGTAATGTACTGCAAGATCGAATGAATGTACAAAAGGAATTTTCCTCGAATTTTTAAAAAGGAAATTTTTTAAATGAATTATGTCTAGGCAGAGTGCATTCATTTGCTTCATGTTTAGAGCCACTTGTGTTTTTTTGAGTTTCCTTTTTCGCCATGTGCTTGTCAGGGTCAGTTGGTTGTTCATACTGTTTATGGAGAATAATTCGTGCAGGTACCCCAGCGTTAGGAACGACACCTTCATCATGTCCACGTTGATGTGGACCTTGTTTGTGGTTCGTGTGATGGGCTTGCTCAGGGGCTTGTTCAGCGCCTTCACGCCGCTCTTGCTACCACGCTTCGTACCATCCGTGGTGGCCCCCCTTCTGCTACACCTTCCCTTGCGGAACTTGGAAGAGATGACCACCCCCCGGTAGCTGTACCTGCACGTGTACACCTTCCCCTCTCGCCTCTGCCTCCCCAAATACTCCACATCCTCCAAAAGAAATTTCAATATCAGCAAGTCGTTGTTGTTCAGGCCCACAGACATTCTGCTCACAATGATGCTTGCACAATTTTTCGTCACCAGCACTTTTGTGTGGGTAGCAATTTTCCTCTCGTTCGAATCACTTTTGGAATTCTTTAAGTGGGTATCCCCAACCTGAGGGGTGATCCCTCCGCTGGTCATCTTGTTCTGGCCATTGTTGCGCCTAGTGTTAATCGCTTCGTGCACGCGACCAGTGTTCATCGCTTCGTTCGCGCGGCCAGGCGCGTGTCTCACGCCGCTTCCTACCCACAATAAGGCATTCCTCCTCCCCCTGTCCCCATACCCGTTGCCCTTGCTTGATAATAGCGCGTAATTAGAAAAGGAGTTACTACTGAGGGGGGGGGTAGTCATGCCCCGCTCGGTACTGTTCCTCTTTGAGGGGAAGGAAAAGTAACCATTTTGCCTGAACGTTCTGCTTCTCTCTTCCTCTGTTGTTCTTCCCTCTTGTGATAAGTGATTCTCATTCAGGGCTCCAAAACTGGGTGTGAAAAAAATTGGGGGGAATTTCTTGCTGCCCTTGTGCCCGGACTTCATGCGTAAGGACTCTCCTCGATTAAGCACGTAGTTGACTCTCGTGTAGAAGCACAGGATGTTGATGAACTCCACGAGGTTGTACAAGCAGAACTCTCGTAGGGGGATCACACTAATGTGCGGTTCATCCTCGTCCTGCAGCGAAGTGCTGCCTCTTCTCTGTTCATCATCGTTAGCAACATGAGCGCCGTGCTGCTTCGCATTTGTACCCCCCCCGTTTACCGGCCTCTGCATATACTCGGTTGACATTCCCCTACAACGCCGCAAATAAAATTTCCGGACGCCCAGCAAGCTCAAGTACACCTTGTGGTGCTTTGCCTGGTTCGATGAGACGCCTACCTGTTCCACCCGCATTATATTTATCGCGGTATGAGTTGTTAGGGGGGCGTGCAGGAGGCCGCACTTAACTCTGAGGTGCTGCATAATTATGTTAAAGTGCGTTTTGTTTACGTCCACGAGGGTTCCTTTGTTTGTTGTTTCCCTCGTTTCCTTCGTTCTCTTCGTGCCCTTCATTCCCTTCGTGCTCTTCATTCCCTTCCATGGCTGCATTCCCCTCCCTGGCAGCGCCTGCATGTGGTCCTCACCCCTTCGAATGGCCCTCTTCCTTCTCCTTTTTTTTTTTTCAATGTCTACCTTCACACTGGTGTTCACCAACAAGTCGTACAAGAACACCCTTCTCTTGTCACTCCAATCGGCATTTTTTTTTTTTTTTTTTGCTTCACCAAGTAAATATTTTTCCGTTCTACTTCTCGTTCATGGCCTACATAGGATGGATGGTTCTTCACCTCGGGGGTGTTCACATACACATACTCTTCCTTCCCTTTATTTCGTTTCTGTGTCACAGTGAAAAAGTCTTCTCCCCTCTTGCGTCTATGCAACTCCTTTGTCCTTTCCTGACCAAACACTTTGTGATTGCCTTCCCTCTCATGCTTAGTTCTGCTTGCTTTTCTTTTATCACCACTGTCGGTGCGTCCACTGGTGTAAGCACGTCTCGTTTTCTTTTGTTTTTCCTTCACGAGACTCATATCGTATAGGATGTCCTCTCCACTCTCTTTAACATCATCCATGAGGTAGGTACACGTAGACAACAAATGAACATTCAAATTTGCAAAAAATATTTTAAAGTGATATGAAAGAAAAAAATTTTTTTTTTTTTTTTTCCTTCCCTCTGTTCCTTCAACATGTTGTTTCGTTTGTGTGGATCTTGCAAGTGATAAAAACTGAAATGCTCTCCACATTTTAGAAGTGCTCACAATTTTGTGCCACTGGACAAGGCTGTTCATAGGGAGGAAGAAACAAACATCTTTGTACGTGTGTTTTATTGTTAGGTTAAGTGCAGGGTTTCCTTTCACAGCGCATTTCACATGCACACTCATTTTTTCACTTTGGTTAATCTCTTTCCTCCTGGCGATCATCTTGGCTCTCCCTTCTATCACCTCCAATGCACGCCACATACAACCAACTGTGCTTTCAACACCTACATCTGCACGTCTATTCAAAAATAGGACCGTATTCTTCCTCTCCACTTGTGTATACTTCGTTTCATAATGAGTAATATTCGTGATGTACTCCTTAAGTAGCTGCTTCCTGTTTGAAACTGCTCTCTTCAAAACGGTGGCCACTTCAGTTGGGGGAGGAGTACATCGTTTCGTTCTCCCTCTATGTACTCCTTTCCTTCCCATTCGACGTGGCACACTTGCTTCTTCCTCCTTTCTCTCCTGTCTTTGTTCTAACACTTTAATGTCCATCTCATCATTCCTCATAAGAACGCTACCTTCCCGTTTGCTTAACAAGGTTTGTGTTTCCTTTACCTGGTCCACAACGTTTCTCTCTTTAGTTGGAAGCTTTCTCCTGATGAGAAACACCCCCTTGTTGCATTTCTGCCCAATCGCACCCACCCCCTCAATGTACTTTCTCCTCTTCCTGTTCAAATTACGCACTTGAAAATTTATTTTTATTTTTTTTAAAAAAAATATGAACATGTTCATACAATTTTGGTAATTTCGCCTCGATAAAGTGTTAAACATTTCAAATAGGTACACCTTCCCCTTCGCATCAAAATAGTCGTTGCTGCTGAATAGGAGCAGTTCTTTCAACTCGTGTAGGTACCTAAAATTTTGCATCGTCTTTTGTTTGTTTGTTCTGCTCCCCTTACTTGTGAGCTCCCCCTTGAGGACACCTACATACGTCCCCAGGAAGGCGTTCTCTCTGTCCGTGTGGAAAAGGAAGAAAACATTCTTTAGTTTAAAACTCACGCATTTGAGCAGCGCATCCATAAGGGTAAGTTGGGGGGAGTAGCCATTCCGCTGCTGCGACAGGTGAACGCTCCTATGATTGACCCATTTGCTCACTCCTGTGCCAGCCAAGCGGATTCCCCTGTTCTGCGTTGCCTTCTTCGCCCCCACAAAGGGGCTATTTCGTGGGTTCATCCCTACTCTGCTATGCAAGCGGACTCCAGCCGCCCGTCCTGCGGAGCGCATCTTCTTCACCCTGTGTTTGGCATGTACTCTGCGGATGATTGGCGCGAGTTGCTTTCCTTGCACCTTGGACCACGTTCGTTCATCACGTCGACTTTCACCACGGCTGTCGTGTGGGAAGGCAGTCCCGTCGCCACTTCCAGCCCCACTTCCACCCAAGCCGTACCTGCGCAGGAGGCGCTGCGCCTTGGCGCCCATCTCCACTACGCACGCGTACAAATTAACTAACGAGACAACATATCGCTCGTTCAGGAGGACATTGAAGGAGCAGTTACATCCGACTCGTCCATCGCCACCCTTTTCTCCCCTACTGCTGTACGATTTTAGTACCGTTTTGACATTCACTAGGTGCGGTTCGCGTCCCCCCTGCATTTGCAAAGACCAGGACGCATCACCCCCCTTGCGGGTTTTTATTTTCCTCTTCAAGCATCTCAACATCTTAAAGAGGAGACGAACTTTCCTTCTGCGCATCGCACACGTTATGGAAGGATAGAGCAAAGGTAGAAATGGGTGACGCGTTCGCTGAGCACAGTTGAGTGGTTCATAGGTTCTGTTCCATTTACTTCTACCCACCCTGCTTCTAATCCGCTTAACCATATGTACACTTCTCCTAAGGACCTTCGTGGCGGGGAGCTGAAACCGCAGTTGATTGCCCAGATGAAGATAATTGGACTGAAGAATGAGAAACCTCTTCCCATCCTCCAACCCTTTCACAAACAAATGGACGTCACAAAGTGTACTTTTCACGAGACAACACAGTTGTACAACCTGTCTGCTGTAAGTCGTTCCTTTACAAGTACGAGAAAAAACAAATGTTCCCTTTTTTATTTTCAATAACAGTTTTTCCTTCTTCTTCCCCCTCATCTTCTTGTTTTTCGCTTTGTTGGTGACTTCCCCTGAACAGTCAGCACCTGTACCTTTGGTCTTCCCTTCCTCCGCAAGTGGACATACAAAATAGGTGCAGCTCCAGGTGACCCTATTTACACAAATGTGTACCTTTCTCACTTGAAGCAGTGTCCCAATGTGTTTGTAGCACACGGTTATGTTCTTTTTTCCATTATGATCCATCGGGTAGACCTCTCCTGCATTGAGTCCACCCATGGCTATCATCCCTCCATGTGCATACTTGTTCCTTCTTTTTATAAAATCTCTCACCTCTTCAGATGCACTTCTATCACTCGTGCATCTATTAAGCGGAAAATGGGTTCTAAAAAATGGGTTCTGGAAACTGTCCTTAATTGCTTCCATGTACCATTTTAATGAATCCAACACACTCACATCTGAAGATATTCGCACCCTGTGGCTGTTCAAATGAATGACCATGTTGAGTAGGTCCGAGAGGATCAAATTTATTCTCTCCATTTTTATAAACACGTTCCTTCTCTTTCGTGTCTTCGTTCTTGCCTGGGTAACGTTCTGCCAGTGTTCGCTATATTCCTGCTGGGTGTTCACCACCCCTGTCGATGCCTCTCTTGAAGGTAGGCTGCGTTGCGGTGAGTGGTGGTATGGACCAATGGAGGGGACTGCGCTGGAAAGAGGAGGCTTCCCCTTGTTCTTCACTCCCTGCCCCTCCACGATGTACCTCATTACAGAGGTTTCCTTTACAAACATATGGAAGGCCAATTTACACACGTAGAAATGGCGTCTACTGCGCGTGGCGCATTTGTGTTGGAGTCTTCGTGTTCTCCTTTCATGTGCCCTTTTTCCACGGTCTCTTTGTATGGGAGGCAGTTGGTGGGCCTTTCCTCTGGGGGAGGCGCCCACGTGGGGTACTTCCCCCGCGCCCGCTGCTTCGGCCACTCCTGCCACTTCCTTCACCGCTTGGACGCTCACAAGGTTACTCCTCATCTTCACGACAAGGCAATTTGTCTCGACCTTAAAATGCTTGCTCGCTGCACCGAGGGAGGAGAGTCGCTGCTCCCCGACCATGTCCCCCTTGTTCATAAAAAGAAACGAGCAGGTAATTCTCTTCGCAATGAAATAAAAGACTAGTCTTAACATTTTCTTCATAACAGATGTGTAAAACGTGTTGTTGTTCCTTCGCAGATGCAAAAGGTGTGCTTCAGACGGGAAGACATTTCTAAGCGGGCTTTTTATAAAATGATTGGTCCTTCCTGCATGATCCACTTCCCCCCTTTGCACTTGCCACAAATGCAAGTACGCGTAATATGCCATGTTCAAGAAGAAGTCATGTACGTACAGGTCCAGCCTCTCCAGGTAGCATGCAATTACATGCTTGTTCTTCACGCCTTGTCTTTTGAGCTCCCCCGAGTTGGTCAGCTGGAATTGGTGTCTCAGGGTGAGCGCATAGGAGGGACAATTCGGGTGAGCCCCTCTACTATAACATCCTCCCCTTCCTACTACCTTCTCTCTAACGTTACCCGGGATGCACCCATCACATGGCCTCAGCCTTATAATGTTCCTTTCCCCCCCGAGGTCAGCAAGAGAATACACCCGCACCCCCCTCAGTGACTCAAAATGTAGGGGAACGGAACGAATATTAAAATCACAAAATGAAGCAAAATCGTATATGTATAATTTGTTCTTAAGGAGGTAAGCATTTTTTTTCTTCGTGGCGAAAAAATGAAAAATGGTCCTCTCCGATATGAACTTAAAGTGGAATGCTTCCATGTACCTCTCTGTCCCTTTTGCCTTGTCCCATCGGTTTGACCTCACTTGATCCGATTGTAAAAAAATTATAACATTTGATATTTTTTTCTTCTTTAGCTTTTTTGTATTTGGTGTATTTTCCTTGCATAGGAAGAAAAAGAGGTTTACATGACGACAGGAAAATTTTACCTGCATGTTAATAAAAAAACTTAATACATATGTAATGCTGAAGGAGGAGCTAACATAATAATCTTCCTCATCCTTCTCATGCGCCACTTGGTCATTATCGTAAAAGACTTCTAGAGCCCCGAAGAGAAAGTTCAGCTCTTCTTCAATCGACACCACGTTATCCTTTACATGGTTAATCACCATGGTTGGTATGTCTTCCCTTTTTTTTCTTCCGTCAGGGTAACACAGCTGAGTTTTCTTCAGTTGGACTTTCCCCCATGGGACCTCCTCCGATGTGAAATACCCTGATCCGCTCGTCCTACTGTGGCTCCCCCTCTCCTCAGAACATTCCTCGCTGCCACAAAATAATTTTCTTAACAAATTCAGGACCTTGCTGTTTAGCTCCACCACTAACGAAATAATGGAAATGCGTACTCTGTACATTGTGGTCCTGTCCAGGGTGAAGAATAAAGCAAATGGAAAAACCAACACATGTGTACTTCTATCGTACTTTATATAAGTGTATATATTTGCTATTTTGTAATTTATGTTGACGTGGTTGTTAATCGCTTTCACTTTTTTTTTTAATTTTTTCGCTAGGAGAAAATTGGGACTTGTTCGAAACTTCCGCACTGCCTTTTTCTTTACATGCGTGATGTTTTTATTTGTGAAGTGTAGGAGGGTGTGGTCTAGGCAAAGGATCATGGTGGGGGCACGCAGCTTCGTTAGTTCCACTTTGATTCGATTAATTTGCGTGCTTATTTGAACCAGCGATGGGTGGGTTTCCCCCCCAATGCTGCTGTCTTGAACTCGCTTCGTCCCACTGGTCACACCCAAATGGTGATGCAAGATGAACAGGTCCCGCTCCAGCAGCGCGCCCACAAGCACGCAGAACCTATCCACACGACTGATTACCAGACTAACGCACTCAATGTTGAGACCTATCAGGTACTCGCTTGACCTACTCCCCCCTCGTTCGCACTTCCTATTCACCTGTGCGATGAGGCAGTGTTTGTTCTTCCCCTTAGACGGCGCACTAAAGCCATACCTGCCAGCGAGAGCGGAGGTCACACTGGCGTACTCTGCACACGTGGCGTCTAGCAGGTCGTTATACATGACCTTTTTGAACGCATAACTTTTTTTTGTGTTGAAGCGAAGCAGCTCCTCCTTGACTTTACTCACGATAAGGGACAAACTCGAGTAGGATTCTGTGATGGAAAATGAATCCAGCGAGAAGGTAAAATTGTGCAGCGCGCGATTTTTCACCGACCCGTCCTGCCTTGTGCGCGAACACTTCGCTGGACCACAAGTCCCCCCCTTCAAGGCAAAAAAGAGGTCAACATTTTTGCAGCAGCAGCAAAGGGAGTCATTCCCCCTGCCGTACCAATAATCCACGTTGAATTCTTCCATGTGAAAGTTGAGCTCGAGCAGCAGTTTCATTCCTCCGGTGTCGCACATTCTTCCTGTTCGATGCAAGCTGTCCTGCACCGAGGTGACGTTCCTCCTGTGGGGTTGTCCACGGTGAGGTTGCCGCCTCCCCTGCTTTGGCCCCCCCTCCATCTGAGCACCATCCCCCCTCGCAATGCAAACGTACTTATACAAAAACAAATACAAGGTGTACAGCCTATCATTTGAAAGGGAGATGTGAATGCTCGGGGTGGCGACGCTGAGGAGATACCTCTGGTTACTCCTATCCTTCAACACGTCACAGAGAAGGGTGGTCTCCTTCAACAGGCACTCCCTCTTATGTGTTACCTTCACATTATAAAAGAAAAAAAACTTGTACTTAAATTTGTCCTCACTTATATCACTCCTACTAATGTGTTGACTCCTTCCATCCTGGTATACACTGAGTTGTCCTATAGTAACTTTGAATAAATCTTCTAATTCATTTCTGTTCAGGGTGTCCCCATCGCTATAAATAATATTCGTTCCATTTGTGATAAGGCTTCTATTCATTTGCACACCCATCATGTGTCTTTCTTCTCGCTCTCTGCTCCTGATGAAGCTACAATTGTCCGCATGAACTTCATTCATGTGAACAGAAAGGAATATTTTTTTTTTCCCATTTGATAATGTATCCTCGAAAATTATATTAATGTTTTTTACGTCAAGGCAGAGGATGTATTGCATGGCTAGCTTGGACACGATTTCTTTGAAGATGCGGAGGAAGCTCCGTTTTATAATGTTATGCGCGATGTACTTGAGGAGGGAGCAGGCCAGGGTGTACAGCTTCGTTGTCACCACGTTGAGGTAAACAATGGCGATGAGCAGAGCGACGACGGGGAAGCTCCTACTGATCTCCGCCACTTCGCTCCCGTCCTCACTTCCTTTACCTTCACCATCGCCTTTAACTTTGCAGATGTTGCCCTCCACCGTGTCGCACATCTTGTTGACCCCTTGCCCCTTCTCTGGCTCCCTCTCCTGGGCGCCCTCCTCCTCCAACTTCACACTCACGAAGACGTTTTCCACCTGTACAGTCAGGCCACTGTACAAACCTGCATCGCGCACACCGCCACTTCTTCCATCGACACTTCGTCCCCCGCCCCTGCTGGAGGGGAGGATCCCCCAGTCAACATCCACTCTGCCGACGTAAAAAATGTGAAAGCTAAGTTGGTGTTTCCTTTCCGTTAGTGTATCTAGGTAAGCCAAGTAAGCACCGAACGCTCCCTTCTCTTTATGGTGTCGCTTCGGCCTCTTTAAAAAAACGTTCTTCTCTGTGCTTCTCACGAGATCGTTAGGGAGGCTTAGTGTGAAGGGCGTAAGTTCTAACTCTTCCCACATGAAATGCTTAATGCTGTTCATGCACATATGCTTCACGCCCCTAATGTACTTTTTAACTCCGAGTTTTTGTAGGAGATACTCCAACAGATACAGTAGCAGCGCCATTGTGTTTAGTTCTTCCCCCTTTGGTAGGTGCCACGTGTGTTTAATATTTTCTTGGCGAAGACAAGACGTCCCTTTCTTCCCCTTGGGTTTACTTCGCTTTTCCTGCTTGGGCGCATTTGCTTTCACGAGAAAGGGAGGGCAGTAACGGGATAAAAAAAAAAAAAAAAAAAAAAAAATGGGTCTTCTATTTATATCCCCACCTGTGCTGCTGTTGTTCCTCGTTCTTCTGGCTCTGTTTTCTCACGTTACACCTACAGCCCTTCTCTCCCTCTGTGAGCTACTTATTTCGCTGGAAGGACACCCCAAACAAAAAACAAACATCAGCACTGGAAGGTAAGTTGACATACTTCTCTACGTTGTAGCTTCTGCTTAGACGCTTGAAAATGGGTTCTTGAAAATGGGTTCTTGAAAATGGGTTCTTGCAAATGGGTTCTCACAAATGGGTGTACACAAATACGTGTATACAAATGAGCGATTACACCACACTGTGCGCGTCGTGTCGCTCGAGTAGGGGGAGGCCGTTCGCACAGTCACTAGCGCGATGCGTCATGCATACACACGCGCACACGCACACAAAAAAAAAAAATAATAAAACAAAACAAAATAAAAACTGTTTCTACGAGAGGTGTGCTTCTCCCTCCCCCCTTGTTGACAATGCAATGGGGTGAAATGGGACAACTTGTAAGAGGGGCTGTTGTTGTACAAAATATTTGTTAAGGCAACATTGAAACTGGTCTGTCCTATGCCCACAACTGCCCCGATGGAGACAAAACCCATTCCTCAGCGTCGCTCGTGCAAACTCAAATGACACACATTAACTGGTCCTACAGAAGTGTCCTCCCTCCGTAGCCGCATCTGCGTCAGGGGAGTTTACACTACAGACAAACATGCAGGTGCTTTATTATGGCTGCACGTGGGGAAGTTTCACAAGATAACAAAAGCGGCAAAAAAAAAAAAAAAAAAAAAAAAAAAAAAAAAAAAAAGGGAAAAAAAAAAAAAAAAAAAAAAAAAGAACACGTAAATATGGAGGCAAAAAAAAAAGGAACAAACACAACTAGAACACACTGGTGGAACAAAAAAAAAAAAAAAGGAAGCGAGTGACGGGCTTGACAAAACTAAGGCAAACTGCGCTGTAACAACACGCAGGTAATTACACAATTCAAAATGGACCCAAATGAGGAGAGACCGTGCAGCCTTGGCCTCATCGCAATTCGAGGGTGCTCGGTCGAAGTGACAACACAATGATGAGTTGCTTCCTGGCGCTCGTTTCCTTTTCCTCGTCTCCACAAATAAGAACATACAAGCATAGGTGAATTAAATACACGCGCAAATGTACGTATACATATATGCATGTATACGTTATACATACAGTCACGCATACATTCGTGCATACATACGTGCATACATGTACGTACGCTTGTTCACCTTTTATGCCCCCCCCACTCCCTTTCTGTTCTGCCAATTATGCAAAATGTGCGTACGTGGCGAAGAAAAGCCTGTTCCCTTTTTCTCCCCCATACACTTGTGCCCATCTTCTCATGTAGGGGGATTTTTTTTTTTTTTTTTTTTTTTCATTGGCAGGAGAAAACAATTCATGTGCGTTAAAATTCATCCCCGCGACAATTAATTGTATCGTTTTGTTGCTGTTTTGTTTATATCCTTTTTTTTTTTTTTTGAATGTTCCTCTTTAAGTAATTTTTTCATTTGATGGATCCTACATATGAGAGGGAGCCCTTCCGCAGTGGGGTGTTCAAAAATGATACAAAGAGGTCATACCAAAGCCACAAGCACAGCAAATATTTTTTTTTTTACAAACAGTAGGTACTGTTAATGTGAATATATATATTTCTGTGTTTGCCTTTTTTTTTTTTTTTTTTTACTCATTCCTGACCTGCGTGTTTACAAAACGAATAAGGCTATAAAAACGAGTTCTCTTTGACGCTGTTTTTTTTTAATACTTATTCTTTTGGCCAGCCCTACAAAAGAATAGGGGCTATGTGTAGGGGACGGGAAAGTCCTTCTGTAGATGTGAAGTCATTGCCGCCCCCCCCTTTTACATATATACGATACTAATAACTCGGAAGGGCAAAAATAACGAGAGGAGCACTTGTGGCAGAACTGGCCTTCGAGGCAATTATGTGATTGAAGACATTGGACCTCACTTGCGCAGGCACACCTATGCTGGAGCGCTTCCACCATATGTACACGTGCAGGCAGGGCGGGGGAAACGTATAACCTGTTTGTTGCGTTGTGCAGTTTACACCGCCTGTCTGCCGCGTACCGGCCGCGCATACACGCAGCGGAGCGAGCACACAACTCCCCAACGACCAAAATGGGTCGTGCGTAATGTGCCGAGGAAAGCAGCAGCAAAAAAGAAGGCCGCCACGTGGAACAAAATTGTGAGGAGTCTTGAAATGGCAAAGAAAAAATGAGCTCAGATGAGCTGATTTGCCCCCGCGTCTTCAAAAAAAAAAAAAAAAAAATAAACAAATTAAAACAAAACAAAACAAACGCACAACAGAGCACGATTGAACGCGCCCAACAAATCGGGCGAAGAGAAAAGTAGGCGCAGCCACGCGCACGTGAACGGGCCCAAAAAAAAAATAAGCAAAAGGGAAGGAAATAGCGAAGCAAGGAGCCCACAACCCGACAAACGGACAGCCGAATCAACATTGCTCATTGAGCGACCGTCAGGCGAGGCACAATGAAGCTTCGACCGAGCAGGGTGGTGTACAGGCTCATCTCAATGAATGAGCGAGTCGGTTTGAAGAGGTCCTTTGTGAGTTGCCCCACGGTGGGCAAGTCGCTTGGTGGGGGAGCCAAGCAGGTCATCACCCCCCGAGAGGGCACTGTACCAATCTGGAAGGAAGAAGGGAGTAACAACTCCATGCGAAGAGTAACAACCAGTATTAGTGTCGGCCCCGAAGACAGGGTCTACATCACTGTAGGGTTTGACCACCACTGCCGCGCGTTCCGAAACAGAGTGTCCCCAGTGGTAACCCCGCTCTGCCAAATCAAGGGGAGCAACAACCCCTTTTACACAAATAATAATGCAAGGAAGAAATTTTCCACAAAGGTGTCGAGGGATGATACGGAGGGGAGCAACTCCTTCCAAGGACAGGCAAACAAAGGGGGGGGTAATATTAATTATTCCTCTGAAGCGTCCAAATCACAACAGGGCAATCACCACGAGAAGACAAAAGAAAGTTTTGTCACAAGTGATCACTCCCCTGTCCGTGGTCCCAACGGCACGTCACAAGCAGGAGAAGAATACACGAACGTGATCGAAATGATGAAAAAAAAAAAAATAAAAACAAATGAAAAGGAAATGGGGAAAATTGCAAAAATGTGCAAAAAGGGAACCAACGGAATGAAGCTAATTTTTACCTTTATAAAAAAAGCAGGACAACAAATAAAAATAATAATTATACAGCCATCCATGCTGAAGGTATACTGGGCTGATTTAAAAAAAAATATAAAACACACAGTGGTGTGGGTCAAAACAGGAGTCCTGTTATTCCTCACAAATATGAAAATTTCAAAAAATTTAATTATAAAAAGGTTAAAGGGACACAGACTGTCTTACTCAGAATACAAATTGCTAATTCGCACAATGAATGACATGTTCAAATTAATTCCTTTTTCCTTTTTCATCATTGTACCATTTGCAGAATTCTTACTTCCTGTGTTTTTGAAGATTTATCCAAATTTATTACCTTCTACTTTTAAAAACAATGATGATAATTTTGTAAATATAAAAAAAAATTTATATGCAAAACAACAGCTAGCCAAATTTCTGCAACAGCTAATTGAAGAAAAAGAAAAACAGCTAAATGAAAATATTGGAATTGACTCTGAAAAAAAAAAAAAAATTTTATTGAAATTTCACCAACAATTAATTAATAAAGATGAAAAAGATGTTAACCCCTTTTTAAGTGTAGGCGACACTTTAAAAATTGCAAAAATTTTTAAGGACGATTTTGTACTTGACCAAATGAATTTAAAAACGCTTCAAACCATTTGTCACCTCCTTGGATTGAAGCCTTATGGAATGCATTACCATGTCGTGCTCCAACTGAGGCATCATTTTCTTCGCCTACAGAGGGAAGACAGGGAACTTATGTACGAAGGGGTAGACAATTTAAAAAAACACACATTGATAGAAATATGCAAAGATAGAGGTATGAATTTTAACACCTCCGAGGAAGAGATGAAATTACAAATTCAACAGTGGTTGGAGTTGGCTAGCATTAAGGAAGTACCTTACATTCTACTCCTCTACATCCGCTGTGTTGTCGTTACACATGCTATCATGGACATACAAGACACAGAAAAGGTCAACAAGGAGACCACAGAGAAAGATGTAAAAAATGCTGCCCTTGATAATAAACAAAAACTTATACAAGAGGCCAAGGAAAAACTCGATGATTTAAAAATGAAGGAACAGGAAATTAAAAAAAACATTAACAAGGAGACGAGCGAAGAGGAAGGGGAAGTGGTTCCCCCACCCAAGGACAGCAAAATGAAAATAGACTTTCTCAAGAAGAACAAATACCTGCAGAATGAGCTCAACCTTTTGAAGCAAATTTGCGACTTGCAGCACACGTAAGGAGGGACACCTTTGCGGCGTTGCGCTGGCCAATTTGCCGCATCCATTGTCGCCACCTATCCGCTCGGCGCACCCACTCATAACTCCTGTTCACTCACCCTTTTCCCATTTTAGGGAGCTGAAGATTGCCTTCACGTCCTTGACCGACCTCGCGGAGAAGAAGCAGACCTGTAAGGGAGTATTTCACGCAGCACACGCAGTTGCACAAAAATTTGTTCACAAACATGCACACATTCACGTCCGCCCCTCCCCCATTACCCTTTCCACCAGGCAACATCAACGAAGTGATAAAAAAAATGTCGGAGAGACTTCTCGACATTGAAAAACACATCAGCGAGTTGAATGCACACAAGCAGATCGAAATGGTGAGTCCCCTCCCACACACACACATGTGCACCGTGTTTTGCAGACGGCCAAAAAAATAATGTGGCTGTCTATCGCTGCGTATGATGTAATGGTGAACCTGTTTTGTATGCCCCTCTCTCAGTCTCTTTTTATTTTATTTTATTTTTTTTTTTTTGCGCTCCCTCCCTTTTGCAGGATGAATATTTTTACCCAGAAGAAGAAAAGGCCGACGATGTCGTGAATATAAAGAACTGAATTGAAACGGAGACGAGCATCCGTCATTCGCACAGTGTAAATGAACACATCACTGCGATGTGTTCCCCATTTTGTTATCTTTTATTACTTTTATTCTTTTTATTCCTTTTATTCTTTTTTTAATTTTTTTGTTTGCACAACCATTTGAAGGTTAAAATGGGGTGACGCCCACTGCTTTGTTGTTTCAGCAAGGTGCCTCTTCCATGTGTTTATCTTTTCCACGTTCGCTGTATTATACCACCTATGCAAGCGTACGCATGTGTACAAGCGGTAACCCTTGCCTCTAGTAGCGGGGACGAGCAGAACAAGAAAGAAAAAAAAAAACTTAGTATTCGAATTAACTATCATCATTTGTACTAAGCATTTTGCAATTTTGCCCTTTTGTTCTCCAGAGCAGGCGTTATTGGGGTTGCCTCCGTCTGTGGAAGGGGATATATCGCCACGTGTATATGTCTGTACGTTTGTATAACAAGTTTGTGGTGCAGCCAATGTGACAAGTTGCTTAGAGGAAATAAAAGAAAAAAAAAAATGAAAAAAAAGGAGCAGAGGGAAACATAAAAAGGGATGATGCCCCCCTTGCATCAGAGATATAGGGGGTGATTGCCATTTCCGTTTGAGGAAATTATCTTAAAGCTCCCACTTGGTGTGGTGAAAGTTGTCCGGGGTTAATTTCGCCCGTTCGTGTGTTTCGTTTTGCACAAATTGGGCATCGTGTTTTTGTCCATGCGATGTATTTTGCGGGGTGGTCAGGGTTTAGGAGGGGATGTAAAAAATAAGGCAAAAAGGGCCAAATGAAGAAGCGTATGCGCACGCGCAAGTGTGCGGCCAGGTTGCCCGCGCGGCGCCACCCCCAATCCGCCTGAACAGGCAATAACATTTCGCTAGCTAGCTAGCTAGCTAACTAGTTTTTTTTTTTTTTTTTTTGGACAAGCGCTAGGCGGCCATCTCCATAGCGATTTTATCGTGATGCACATAATTCTCTATTGTAAAATCGGAAATGGTAAAATCCTCAATGTTCTTCACATCTGTGTTTAGTTTAAGCGTTGGGAACGGGTAGGGGATCCTGTTAAGCTGCACTTTTAAGCTGTCTATGTGATTGTTGTAGACGTGCGCATTGCCCAAAATATGTATGAACTGTGCAGGCTGCAAATTGCACACCTGTGCAATCATGTGTGTGAATATGGAATAGGAAGCGATGTTGAAAGGGACCCCAAGACCCAAATCACAAGATCTCTGATACATAATGCATGACAGTTTCCCATCAAACACGTAAAATTGACATAAGATGTGACAAGGAGGTAAAGCCATTTGATCCAAATCCTTTACATTCCATGCACACAAGATAATTCTCCTACTTGTTGGTTCATTTTTTATTAAATTAATAACATTTTTTAATTGGTCTACACCTTTATCCTCGTAGTTGTCATGCATGTTTGTGTATTCAGCACCAAAGTGTCTCCACTGGAAACCATAAATGGGTCCCAAGTCATTCACTTCTCTATGAAATAATTTCCTGTTGTCAAGGAACTCCCTCGTTCCATTTGCTTCCCATATCCTTACGTTTTTGTTTAACAAGGTGTTTCCGTTTGTTTCTCCTCGAATGAACCAAAGCAATTCTTCAATAATTCCCCTCAAAAATAATTTCTTGGTTGTTAATAGGGGGAAATACTGATTTAAATTAAATTTCATCATGTACCCAAATTTACTCATGACTCCCACACCTGTTCTATCTCCTTGTTTGTTTCCATTCATGATGATGTCGTATATGATGCTGAGGTATTGGTACTCTGGGTGCTGCTTAATCTTGAGGCTATTGTAAATTTTAAAATCGTGCAGGTGTTCTGGGTTTTTCTCTCCCACTTTGTTGTTAAAGCTAAAGTACACAAGATCGTCTTCCTCTACGCTGGCCTTGTTCTTCTGCCATTGGCACATTGAGGAGCCCTTTCCTACCCATTCTTCTTGGCGCATGGTTGTCCCATTGGGGGAGATACAACCAGAGCCGCTACAATTCGGCGCGCCACAATTCACGTTGTCGCAGTTTTCAGAACCGCTGTCCACGGTGCTTCCATTGGATTCTCCCCCGTCGACTTCCCCTCCACACACCTTGCTGTAAATCACAAAGTCTAAAGTGACCCCCTTGCTGTTGTACACATCGCTGACGGACGTCACTCGAAACTGGCTTTCGTCAATCTCAGGGAACATAACGTCACACTGGTAAGCCTTGTTGATCCTCGTGAAGTAAATCTGCTTAATTAAGTTCCTGTTTAAACATTCCTTATAAACTTGAGCTCCTCCAATAATGAAGCATTTGTAATACTTGAGTTTTTTTAAAAGCAACAGTAGGTCATCTATGCTATGAATTATAAAAACCTTTTCCTTCACGTTTTCACTTGTTAGCGTCTTGGAGAGGATGACGTTGATTCTGTTTGGGAGTGGCTTGTACTGTTGGGGGATGCTCTCCCAGCTGCTTCTCCCCATGACCACAACGTTTTGCAGCTTGGTACTTTTGTCCTCCATCCCTTCAGTGTCCCCACTACAGTTAGTCTTATCACCGCTGTGCATGCCTCCACTCCCCCCTGAGGCTTCCTTTTGCAAGTACTTCTCCCTCTTCCACTTCAACTTCTCGTACTTTGATTCATCCACATAGGTAGTCACCGAGCTGAAGTACTTCATATCCACAGAGTTGCATTTCCATGGGAGAGTCCCATTATTCCCTAGACCCCTAAAGGTCCTCGGGCTGAACGGTTCATTTTTTATTCCTTCACTGGCGGGGGCGACCTTGCAGCAGGCGCAAATGGCGTAAATGTCGAATACTTCTGAAAGGTCCTCCATGGGTCTCAGGGCTTTAAAAAAAAAAAAAAAAAAAACAGGGTTACCTCTTACACCTTGTTATGTTATCGCGCTTGTGTGTGTATGTGTGTGTACAGGTGCCGAGTTTGGGAACGTGAGGAATCAACTGGCGCGCTGAAATAATACATACAACGCGATGCGATGCACCGTTTATATATGGCCCTAATGGGGTGTGCTGGTGAACTCTGCTGGGGACACTATACACTATGCTCACCTCACAAAGTGGAGTCCCTTTTGGGGAAAGGTACAAATCTTTCCTTAACAAAAATGTTTGTGTTTTGTTAAGCGGTGGAACATGAATGTAATTTACACCACGTAAATACGATAAAAATTGCCAAATAGAGGTTGTGCATGATTTTTTTTTTTTTTTTCTCATACCACTTGGGGAGAGAAAAAGCTCAGCTCGCTTAGCCGTTATTTACTTACGTTTATGGATTTCCCCTAAATGGGGTTTTCTTTGGGGCGACAAAATTGCGCTTCGTGTACGTAGTGCTTTGGGCTGCTTGCCGCGCGTGGCTACTGTGGAAAGCATGAGGAGAAAAAATTGAGGCGACATTCGAATTGTCGCTTCGCTCGCGTCACATTCTCAAAGTTGAGTATTTTCAGAGTTGCCCCCCTATCTCCTTTGTAGCAGCCCCTTGTGTGCGTGTTCAAAGCGGAGGTGTAATGAAGTCGGACGTGCCATATGGTCATCATCACGTGGGGAAGAGAAGAGGCCTGTTTTTAAGAGAGTGGCAAATCAGCCTCATTCATCGTTTCCCACCCCGTGAGAGTTTTTTCCCCTGTGTGTGCATTTATCCCCCCTTGCTGGAGAGGGCCAATGTGTGCATAATAACTGTTATCATTTTTTTTTTTTTTTTTTTTTTTACCGATTTACTTGGCTGTTCACAAAAATGGCTGCAATGCAAGTGACGATCACGAGCTAACTGTTGAATGGGAAAGAAGCAGCAACATGCCTCTTTAGACAATTTCTATGAGGAAGGGTTTGTAAAAAATGGGTACGCTGCATAACCTTTTTTTTTTTTTTTTCTGTGCTCAATGCTTCCTCTTTTTATGCCAATTTTTAATGTAAGGTTCTACTTTATACCTGTAGTAAGGAAGTTATTTTATTTTTTTTTTTTTTGTCGCATGGTGGGAGCTCCTTCACTTCGCTTCGGGACATGTGATAAATTTGTAGCCAATTTTGTGAACAGTTTTCCCCACCTATTTGATGACCCAAATTTACAAAAAAAAAAAAAAAAAAAAAAAAAAGGAATTGCCCCCAGTTCTCTTACGATGCGTTTTGTGATGAATTCCCCTACTTGTTGTTGTCACATGGCGGGAAGAGCCAAAAAAAGACAACGGACATATAAACACGTACACCTTCGCCAGCTTAACCATTTGTGTGCATGCGTGTTGAGGGTAAAATATTAATGGGAGCATGTAAAACAAGTGGGATGTTACATTTTTTTTTTTTTTTTTTTCCTTGGCCCTTTTCTGTCGCTCTCCCCTGCGTAACGCGCAACTTTGCAAATGGAAAGTTTCCCCCAGGTGATCCCCTTGCCGTTCACGAAAATGCAAATTTTTTTTCTCTTCTCATTTTTTACATTTTGAAAATAAAAGTGCATGCTGAATTGGGCAACATATAATAAAAAAAAAAAAAAAAATTATTTCACTGCCCTTTGTCCAATGACCAAATACAAAGAACATCACACATGCACATGGTGTTCTTCCAAGACATGCTCATTGGGACAACATTGGCAGACCCCATCTCCGTTCGAACAATCGAGCCTAATTAGGACTGTTCGCAGAGATAGGGGAGCCTTCCTTAGCCATGTGTGCATGCGATTTGTGAGACATGTAAAAACAAATTGATGTGGTCAGGGGCGGCCGCGTTGCTTCGGCACACTGGTGTGGGGCTCCCGTTGTTTTCTCTGCTCGTTAGGCTGGGGCCAATAATGGGTCAGGGAATGACGAAAATGCAGCGGCTACGTCATGGAAAAATGAAACCACATGGATGCCAAGCAGACGCGGCTACGAAAAACTCTACGTTTGCGCGCCAATTTGAAAAATGGAGAAAGTCAAGTGGGCTTGAAGAGAAGCCCTTGACTCCCATTTTTTAACGCCCATTTTTACGGCCATTTTTAAGCCCATTTTTAAGCCCATTTTTAAGCCAATTTGGAGGCGAACCTGGGGACACAGACGCCCATGCGCATGGCCAAGGGTTCTGTCCCCCACATAATAAACACTGTGGGGATTCGCATCCGAACACACAACCCACCCACACGAAGGCGTGACTCTTTTTGCCGCTTGCACATGTAACCCTGACCTTTTAAAACATGATAAACTTTGAAGTATAATTGAGGCACGCTTTTTAATTTCATTACGTAAAAGATAATAATTTCCCTTAAAAATTTTTTTTTTTTTTTTTTTTTTTTTTTTCAATCTTCCATAGTGTACATGTAACCCTCCTGTCTTTAGTTTCACATGTGTTCCTTTGTGGGGAATCCCCAACGAACGCAGCTTTTGTTGTCATCACAAAGACACTTTGTCCAGTTGGCAGACTGTCCTTTGGGCATCTCCTTTCGTTTTCATTTAGCCCAGTGCGTGAGAACACTTGTTCCCCAGCGGAGAAGTCTCCTCCATGGGGTGGATTCGCCCCACTGAAAGAATGTGTACACATGCGCACATTTACATTTGTATTTGACGAGGCGCCTCCTCCGTGGCAGCAGATTTGTCCTTTTTTTTTTTTTGTTCTGTTCTCCATTGGAAGGTCAATGATGGGCCCACCTCTTACCACGTTTCCGTTGCGCGTTTTTTTTTTTTTTTTTTTTTGTAGTGTCATTTACCCAACCCCCGTGCGATGTTCTGTTTTTGTCTCCTCCACTTGTCACCCCCCAATATTAGCTAGGCGTGTCTACAACGACAGACATTGGATCTGCCTCCTCTAGCTTGTGCGACAGGGATGGAGTCTGCGTTCCTTGATAAGGCCTGCCTCAACGATGAGCTGAACCACATAATGATTGACTTGCCCTTACAGGATCAATGTGATTACCTAAACAAACTGCATTCGTGCTCGATGGCTTATGGGGGAAGTCCCACTACCAGCGCGAAGATGCTGTGCCTGCCGACCCCCCTCAAGGGGGAGCACTTTGCCTTTCTGTTGGATGGGGGGGCAGCTGGTGCAGATCCTGCCGCGGCCCCCCACAATGGGCAGCTGCGTACTGCTACTCCGCCCAATGGGCACGTCCGTACAGTTACTGCCCACAGTGGGGACATCTCCGCTACCACCCCAACACGATGGAACGCCGACCGAGAGAAGCTCATGAGCGACATCCTGTTCCTGTGTGTGCACAAAAATGGATGCAAATACGTAATAAATAAAATGAAGGAAAATGAAGACACAGAGGAAAAGAGGATAATTCAAAAATCGCTCCTACTAGATGCGATGGCTCTATGTCCTGACGTGTACGGAAGTTACGTTGCGCAAAGTGTGTTTGACTTGAGTGACGACACATACAAGGAACGTTTCACAGACCAATTTCTTTCACAAACAAGATTTCTCTCTCTACACACATATGGATGTCGTCTCATTCAAAAGTCACTGGAGTCTCTAGGCAATGAATACAAAAGTAAAATATTTAATCAATTAAAAAACGATTTAATTACTTACATATGTCACCAAAATGGGAACCACGTAATTCAAAAGTGCATTGAAGTTTTGCCCTCTGTTCATATTGACACGATCATAAGTAACATTGAAGAATATTTGCCTTTCTTAAGTTCACATGCTTATGGGTGCCGCATCGTTCAACGCATATACGAAGTTGGTAATACGACTCAGATCAACAGACTCAACGATAAAATTATGAAGAAAATATATTTGATTAAGAACAGGTATGGTAATTACGTTATTCAGAAATGCTTTGAACACTCGGACGACACGGTCAGGTTCACCATCACTGATGAGATCGTCAACGACATATACAAGCTCTCTTCGCATAAGTATGCCTGGTAAAAGAATTGGGCTCATCCACTGCGTAGTTTGTTCTGCGGCGGGTGGCACAAATGTGGACGTGTGTAAAGTGTAACAAAATCACTTCACTTTGTTATTATATAAAAATGCCGCTGAAACGCACTCGTTTATTTTATTTAATTATTTTTATTTATTTTATTTTTCCCATCTGTGTCCCCCCCACACACACACGCAGCAACATAATCGAGAAAATTCTGCTGAAAAAGGAATACAAATATAAGAAAAAAATAATCAAGAGAATTGTGAATGATATTTCGGAAGGGTAAGTGACGTACCGTTTTGCAGTAGACGGGGGGGTTAGCAGTACGGAGGCCCCTTTAAAAAATAAAAAAAAAATAAATAAAACAACACGTTGCCTATTACGTTCACCAATGTAGCGTGGCCGCTGCACATTCTAACGACATGCTTCACACCCCTCCGCCCCCCAGGAACGACAGCATGATCAGCATTTGTAAAGACTGCTACGGAAATTTTATGATGCAAAAACTGCTGACCACGTGCAGGCCAAAAGAGAGGACCCTTATTATCAAAACGATCATAGAGAATGTCGACAAGCTCAAGGACGAGACGTACGGTAAGGACTTCTTCGGACTCTCGCAAGGGGGAAGAAAAAACACACTACTGTCCCTAAATTGCTTACCTACAAAAACACATTTGTCTTTAACCTTCCCCTTCACGTCACACACACCGTTCAATTTTGCAGGCAAGTACATCTTGAGAGCGATCAGCAACCTGGAAACGTAAAACTTAATTGGCTTACCTACATTTTACATTTGGCTGCAAGGTTGCCCTCGGTTAGCCGTTCGTAACCGAAGTGAGGAATGGTGTATTATACAAATGTCACCGCTACCTAACGGTATACTTATTATTAAAGCAATTTTTCATTTGTCATTTCAAACTGTTCAGTTAGGTACAGAATGGGGGAGAGAGAAAAAAAAGGAAAAATTTTCTCCCTCTACACCAAAGGGGAAAAGTACGTAGGTGTTGGGACACATATATGCACACGTACTAACACACACGTGAGTGTATGCATGCCGGGTGACGGTTATCAGAGAAGGGATACCCCCACACGGCTAGCCCCCGTGGGGTATTCAAACGAATTATATAGGGGAGAATGGGTGCTAGCTCCTCCCCGATCTGACCTCGGCGCAATTTTTTTTTTTTTTTTTTTTTTTTTTTTTTTGCAAGCAGCATGTGCATAATGTGCATTATGCGCGTCATGCCTGGACTTGTAGACCCACTTTATCGGCGCTCCCGACTTATTCCACCGATTCGTCACACGACCCATCCGCAGTGTACTTTTTGCAAACGCAAGAATAAGTGAGCAGGTAATCTCTCTTATCGTCTATAATATTTTCGTTGTCAAATTTCAACCCTTTTATTCTTGAATGGTTAGCATCAACCATAAATTCAATGAGCCGTTTTCCTTCAAAATTTGCTTTATCGTAATAGAAGGGGAGGCACATTTGATACGTTTTGGGGCATCCTGTTTCTCTGCAGGAAATTCCTATGTTGGGCATCTTAACCCAATTGAAATTTTGCTGCAGTAGCTTCTGCTGGCCTGCAGAAGAGAAGAAGTGTGCGCGGGGGAGGGGGTGAGTTCAGCCGGGATCACTTCATCGCGGGTGTACACACCACACATATGTGACGCACAAGCTACTGCTTACCTGGCTGAGACAAGGAGTCCACCTTCTTTATCTCCCTATCATTGGTCGCTTCGAAAAAGGTGTAATTATTTGAGGGGGGCTCCTCACTTTGGTTGTCGTCTTCGTCCATGTCATCCTCAAATGGTTTGCCCGCATTGTGTGGTGAAACATCACTCAGGACTCCTACCCCTCGGGAGCTCCATCTAGACATTGCTTCTTCCTGTCCGCTGTCCAGTTCGTCTTCCTCTTCATAGTCCAGTTCGTCCTCCGACGTGTCTTCCATTTGGTTGTTGCTCTGCATGCCCCCCTTCTCAACTGCACTCAATTGTCCCACCTCCGTCGGGTTGCTCACGCCTAGGTGGTGATGCATGTGCTTGCCACTCGTCTTGTGCCCCCCCTTTCCGTTGTTGAGCACACGGATGTTGCACTTGGCAACTGGGAAGAAGAACCCCCAGTAGTCATGCCCAACTAAAGTGATAAGCGCCCCCAAAAAGGACAAAAGAAAAACACACGAATAGCGCACCATCCTTTGTATGAAAGTATGGGGTGTCGTTTGAAAGGGCCTATATTTCTGTTTTTTTTTTTTTCTTCTTCTTCTTCTTCTCGGTATGAAATACCTATTAGAGCTGATCGCCTACATGTGTACGATTCTGTTCTGCTAATAATCTCACACCCTTACAGGAAAGATGGCAAAAAGGTATGCGCAGGGAGCGGGTAAAAAAAAAAAAAAAAACGGTTAAACGGCTAAACGTGAGAAAACGGAGGTACACCTACATGGGGGTAGCGCACACACATAAATGTAGAAGTGCTGTTCATCTATCAACTTTGTTTCATTCCTACATATTGCACATTTTACAAAATTTGGGAAGACACATTGTGTGCACCTCAAACCTGATCAAATTTTTTTTTTTTTTTTTT